CCCCGCCGGGTGGGCTGTCCCGGCGCCGTTCCGCACGGCCGGACCCCGCTCCGCCCGCCAGCCCGGCCCGGCCCCGGCCCCGCCGCCCATGGGGAGCGCGGCCCGGCGGCGGCCCGGCAGCAGGAGGGAGCGGGGAGGCTCTGCCGGCGGCCCCGCTCGCCCGTAGCTCGGCGGGGCATGCCCGGCTCCAGGATGCCGGCCTGGGGGATCCTGCCCGTCACGCTGCCTGCCTTCACCATCACCGGGATGTGGATCGTGTGAGTGCCGCGGGGCCGCCGCCAGCCCCCCTCTCACGGGCGGCGGGGCCGGGGGCGCCCGGGCTGCGGGCGGGATGCTGCGGGATGCTGTGGGCTGGGGGGCCGGAGGATACTTCTGGGTGGGATGGTGCGAGGCAGGAGGTTGCGGGGCGCCGCTGGCCCCCGTCAAGTTGGGGCACTTCGGGACACTCCTTATCTCCCACACCTCCCTGAACCCCCGCAGCTGCCCTGCGTGGTCCCCGCGCCCCCTGCAGCAGCTCTGGTGTGTGCCTCCCTGGCCTTACATCCCTGGCATCCCGTGGAATCGCGCGCCCCTGTCCCGGCGTGAGTGCAGCTGATGCTCAGGTGGCACGGGAACACCTTTGGGAGCCGTGCTGCCAGCCCAACTCCTGCAGCGCCGGGGCCAGTACATGGACACCCATCCCATGGATGGAAGGGCCTTGTGCTGGGGGCAGAGGCTGTGTCACCTGGGTGAACAGCATTAGTCCACCCCACCGGTCCCCTTCTCGGGCCTTAGCACTGATGGGCAATGGATGAGGGACTTTTCCCAAAGGCACAGAGAGCCTCAGTATTGATGGTGGGACTTTCTAGGGTGCGAATGCACCCCATAACCCTACAGGTCCCTCCAAGTGTTTCCCCCTTTGGTATCCCCTGTCCTCCTTCACAACAAAGCCGAATACTGACTCTGGTGCAAGGAACTTGCCTTGGACACAGTGTAAAGCACTGTCTGTCTCCTGTGAGTGACCCTGGGGGGTAGATGGCCCTCCTGTCTGGAGCAGCCCAGGTGGGGGTAGCTGCTTTATGGTCCTCACAGCCAGAGCTGCCCTGGGAGTGGCCTTCTTAGGCCCTTTTCCTGGCACCAGACATGTCCTGCAGCCCCCGATGCTGTGTCCCTCACAAGTACAGTACCAGCAAGAGGTCAGGCAGTTGACTGTGGAGTGCGTGGCCCATGTGGGGGCCCATCAGCCACGCCTGGGATTCAGAGCCATGAGAGGGGACAGGGTTTGCAGGGGCACATCGTCTTGGGAGAGGACAGTGCTGTTTGTGCTTCTGTTGGCTAACTGCCCCCTTCCAGGAGGGTGTGGAGGTCTGGGATGAGTACTGAGTGCTTGGGTGAGATCTGGGAAGTGGCTGGGTGAGGGATCTGCTGGAGGGTGCTGCCCCTTGGATCCCCCCAGCTGTCCTGCTCTTTGCCTCTCTTGTGGGAACACCCTTTTTGCAACCCAGCTTTATGTGGTCAGCTCGGGCAGGATAGGGGTTTTCGTGTTGGTGTTGGGGCTTGTTTTTAACCTGAGCTCTTTATGGCTGTGATCTAAACAGCATGGTGCCGCCTGCTGCTGTGGCTGCTGGGCAGCAGGGCTCCTTGATGGCTGGGGCAGCCACAGGGCTGAGCACCCCTGGGGTGAAGCCGGATGCATTTCATGAGCCCCTTGTTACGCTGACCAGATGCAGGGGTGACTCCACAGTGAAGTGCTTGGTGGAGCTGATCTACTCGAAATGCCCTGCCAATGCACCAGCTACTTATCCAATTTACAGCTCCATCACTAGCCAGCCAGGAGCTGGGGGAAGCACAACAGAGCCATCAGGTGACAGCTGGCACAGCTGTGGGCTGGTGGAGAGCCCCAGTACCAGGGCGGGGGCTCCGTGGCAGAGCAGTCCCCAAGAGACAGCAGCGTGAAGGGGAAGAGGCCCCACAGAAGCATCTGCACTGAGCTGGAGCAGGAGGTGGCTCTCAGCAGGGATGGGGGTACAAGGCAGGGGGACCTGCTCCCAGCAGTGGGAGCTCTGCAGAGCGTGTGCTGGGCTCATGCACTTGTTTTCCTTTTCCCTGCTTTTTAAAGCTGGGAGGTGCCATAGGATGAGTGCTGGCCCCTGCCAGGCAGTGAGGATTTTTATCCTCTGCTCCCTCAGCTGGTCCCTGGGGCTGATCCGGGTGCTGGCAGAGAGCAGGGGTGCAGGGAGGCAGGTGGCTGCAGTAACCCTGTTGTTGTCTCTCCCCCAGATATGCCATGGCACTCTCCAACAACCACATCTGCCCTGTCCACAACTGGTAAGGCCTGGGGGGAGGCAGGGGCTCTTTGGCACACACTGGCTCAGTTAAAGGCTTTATAATGCTGGGTCCCCTCCAGACCTGTCCCACTTGAACTGTGCCACTCTGTGCCAGACCACTGGGTAGTTGAGCTACCCCCTGCACCATCCCTGTGCTGAAAGGGGGGTTGCAGATCAGGTTGACCCTGGGACGGGGCTGGGGATGACAGGAGAGGTGGGAGCATTAAAGACGACTCAGAGCCACCTTCGCCCTCAGCAGACATGTTGGTGACAGCGATGGGGTGCAAATGCCCCAGGGCACGTGCCTCCTGTCTGGCCTACAAGTAGCTTTCGGGAGCAGAACCACTTTGGGGGGACTAGCTGCTGTCAGGGTTGGACTGCCCTCTCTCCCCTGCCCAGGCTCACATGTGGTTACAGCTGCTCCCGTGAACAGTCCAGCCCTGCTGCAAACCAGGCAGAGAGAAGGAGGCCATTGAAAAAACACAGCATGGAGAAAGTATGAAAATAAGTGGTCAGGGAATTACAGAGGGCCGTGTGTCTCCATGGAAAAGGTTGCGACTTGCTTGCTTGAGGCTAAATCTGGCAGTGCCAGGGGGATGGGATGGCCCCGCGGCGCCTGGACACCCCATGAGCAGAGCTGCCTGCAGCTCCCCCACATGGGGGACAAGGCGTGGAGAAGGCAGGGACTGGGAAAAGAAACCCTGTTTGGTCTCTTGGCAACTTCTTCTGCAGGGTTTTTGGCTTGCTGTGTCGCCTTAAAAATCTGCCCAGAGAGATCCATGTTAGTTTAATTCTTGCTGGAGTGTTTGAAGAAGGGAAAAAAAAAAAAAACCTGCTGCCATTTCCTGCCTGATGGCTGATTCTGCCCTGGGAAGAATGTGTGTGTTGGGTTGTCTCCGCCACACAGCCAGCCCTTAATGATGAATAATGCTTCCCGGCCTCAGGCTGCTCTCTTTAAACAAAATAATAATAAAAAAAATCCTCCCAAACCAAACACGGCCCCAAGAGCAGCATTTGAGGAGGCCGTGGGGCTCCACGCCTTGCCTGGGTTTAGTGGTTGGAAAACAAAGCCACCAGTAAACTGAGGAGACTGAAAAAACATCAGAGCCCAGCCCGGCTCTTTCCAGAAAGGATTTTTTAACCGTGCGCTTGCTGCACGGCCGGAGGTGGCGGATAGTCAGGCTGGGACAGGGATAGGGAAGGGCTGGTCCCCCACAGCTCCCATCTCCACCACTGGGCTGGAGGTGTCTGAACCCTTTGGAACACAGGACTTTGGGCTCCCTGCCTGTGGTATGAGGAGGGGGTCCTACTCAGCCATTCCAGGTAGAGGTGGTGGATGCCTGGGTGATGCTGCTGCAAAGGGGCACCCAAAAAACCTCTGAGTGTTTGCCAGCTCCTGGGAGAGCTCTGAGGGTGAGGGAGCATGTACCCCCATGGTGGGAATTTGGTCAGGGTTGCAGGCAGCAGTTGTGGTACAGGAAGGTGTCTCAGTCTGAGAAAGAGCTCAGGGTCCCCATGTTCACAGGGTCTGTGGGCACAGGAGACACTCCCAGGGAGCTGCAGTGGGTGGGGGCACCAGAGCCCTGCCCCAGCCTGGCAGTACTGGGGGCTGCTAACAGGCCCCTGGGGGGATGCCCTCCTGGTGTGTCGGGCAGCTGGCTTTGGTCATGTTCTCCCTCAGGCAACACCTCCCAGCTCCTCACAGGTCACTCTCTCCCTGGCACGGACCTGGTACGGGTCCCAGGAGTGCTTGTGCATTTCCCCACACAGCTCAGTGTTCTTACCTGGCCCCTGCAAACCTGGAGCTGTTGGTAACTGCATGCCCAGCTTCATCAACAGCTCCCACCCCAGGGATGTGTGATGGTGCTTGCAGGTGGATGCTCCCACCAGAAGCCCCTGAGCCCAGCACCCTGACCTGTGCACTCAACAGGGTGTGCAGCCCTCTGCCCCACCATGGCTTCTCCCTCACAGACAGGGGCTCCGGGTGGACAGCAAAGCCAGAGGCAGGGGATAGGCTGTGGAAGCCCAGATGTGATGCTACCAGAGGACCCTGTTGGGCAGTGGTTGCTCCCTGGAGGGGCTTGACACAGGATGCGGGCACATCCCTGGAGTCGAGCTATGCTCACTGGGGAGCAGCTCTGCTGCCCTTGCAGGGCTAGTGGACAGGAGACATGAGGGTCCCAGGCAGGATCTCTGCTCTCCTAACCTGTCCCTTTGCTGCCGGCAGGAATTACAATCAGTCGTGTGACATGGACGGCCCCAGCTCCTGCTGCACTCTGGATCACATCCCCCTCGTCAGGTGAGCAGCTGCAGGGTGGGAGCACAGGGCAGAGCCGCTCTGGGACCCCTCCAGGACAAACCAGGAGAATGTTTTGGGGAGGGGGGAGCAAGCGCACAGCCCAGTGCCCCCTGTCTGAGGGCTCCCTGGGTCTTGCTTTGTCCCCACAGCAAATGTGGCACCCTGCCTCCCGAGAGCTGCTTCTTCAGCCTCATCTGCAGCCTGGGCTCCTTCATGGGTAAGTGCTGGCTGCCAGGGGAGTGGGGCTGGGAGTGGGCTGCCCTGCAGCACATACCCCCAGCACGGGGCAGGAATCGGATGAGGGAGGCCGCAGGCAGCAGCATGTGATGGGGCTGTGTCTCCCTCCTGCAGTCATCCTGGTGGGACTGCTGCGCTACGCCCACATCCTGGAGCGCCTGGGGCCATCCCTCCTCAACACCCTGGGGCTGGCCACTGGTTGGGTCTGCGCTGCTGGCCTCACCATGGTTGGCAATTTCCAGGTAAGGCATCTTCTCGGGAGTCCCCATGGGCAGGAGGGTGGGAGAGGGCCTTGACTGGAGTGGGGCAGTGGCAGTGCTCAGCAGGGTAGGGTTTGGGGTGGTTTGGTGGTGGTTTCTGCCTGTGCAATCCTTCCCCTCTGCTGGGTTAGCGCTGTGCTTTCCAGAGTGCTGGCAGTCCTCTTTGCTAGTGTGTTCATAGTTCAGGTCCAGATTAAACTGCTGGGTTTGGTTTAACCCTTACCTGAGACCCTCTGCAAGGTCTGTCCCCTCCATGGGCACGTGCAGGGCCAGGGACGTGCCAGTCGGGCTGAGGACCGTGCCAAGCTGCCGATGCTCCTGTTCAGGGGTGATGCCAGGTAACTGTCGGGACAGAGTCTGTGCTGGCAATGACCAAAGTGAGCCCAGGCTTGGCAGCACACAGCAGCACTCAGCCCCTGCCTGCACTGCCAGGCATCGGCCTCCCGGCAGCTGCCTGCCCGCTGCCTGCGGCAGCCAGTCCCTCCTGCTTGGCAGGAGGCTGCTGCCAGCGCCAGCCACAGGAGAGGCTTGCTGGCCCCGATCCCCCTCGTGCCCCAGCTGTGGCTCAGCAGCACTGGGCTGTGACCCTCACGGGGGGCAGTGCGGGTGGCCCCAGATGCCTCTCAGGGCAGAGGGCAGCCCCTGCCCCTGGGCACAGCAGGGCTGCTGGCCCACAGATGAAAGAAACAGAGTGCTTTGAGATCCCAGCAGCAGATACTGGGTACAAATCTGCTCTTCAGCCAGGAGTCAGGCACAGGGTGAGCTGCCTGGACTTGCTTCTGGCACCGCCTGCACCCCTACCTGGGCAGGAGCCCAACCCCTGGAGCAGAGCCGTGCTGTGCTGGGGAGTGTCCCAGGGTGCCAGCACTGATGGTCTCTTCCCCACAGGTGGATCACGCCAAGGTGCTGCACTACATTGGGGCAGGGGTGGCCTTTCCCACCAGCATGCTGTTCCTGCTCCTGCAGTCCATCCTCACCTACCGCATGGCCAAAACCCGAGGGCAGTACTGGACTGGCCACTTACGAAGCTTCCTCACCACTGTGGCCTTTGTCACCCTTGTCTTCAGTATCCTGAAGGTGTGGGAAGAAGTTTGGGGATGGGCTGGTGAAAGGTGTTTCTCATGGTGGGTTATGTACCCCGTGTTCTCCATCCTTTCCTCTGGCAGTGAGGCATGGTGCCAGGAGAGGGGCTGGGCAGGGGACTGAGGGTGGGCAGCTCTCTGCAGGTATAGGCTGGATGAGCAGCAGTCTCAGGGCTGGTAAGGGGCTGAGGAGGGGAAGGGATGCTGGTGGGCATTTCTTGGGGTGCTGGGATGCCCCAAACCAGCCCTGTCCTGGCTGCTGCAGCCCAGCCACCACTGCAGGCTCCAGTTCCACATAACCCAGGGTTGGTTAATTGATGGGGTTTTTTTCATGAGACAAAGGTATTTTGAGCAAAGTCTGTCTGGGTTACCTGTATGACCAAAGCTGAGTACAAAAGTGCTCTGTGCAGGTTCTGGGTGGGCACATGGCAACACCTCTGCCAGCCAAGGCTCTCTGGCACCCATAAGCCAACCTGCCCGTGAGGATGAGGGAGGGATTGGTGAGCAGGCACTGGGGTTTGCAAACACCATAGCAGGGAGGGAGGGCACGGTGTCAGGTGAACTGGGGCTCGAAGAATGGTCCTGAGTGTGTGGCCAAGGAGCCAGGAGCTTGTTTGGAACTGAGGGTGGGGATAAATTGGGAAACAAGGTGGTGGTTATTGGGCAGGAAGGGGAAAAAACATCCAGTGTCCGTGGGTCCCAAAGAGGCTGGCTGGGGTCTGGCTGAGGTGAGCAGCACAAAGAGGAGCCTGGGAGGTGCTGGCAGGCCTGGCACAAATCAGAGAGTCCTGCTCTGTCACAGCAGCAGGCAGGCAGGCTGGGAATCAGGCAGGGAGCTGGGAAGGGTAGGAGTGCCGCAGGGCCATGCCAGCTGGGAGGGACAGGAAGGGCACGTAAGGACAAGGGAGACAGGATTGGTGCCCATCTGCTGTGGCCATCCCGCTCTGTAAAGACTGGGGACTAGCAGCAGGAAAGCAGTGAGCTGTGGTGTGGACAGTGTGGGGAAAGGGCTGGGATCTCTCCTAATGGGATGGGGGGAGTGAGCAGAGGGCTCTACACTGTACAGGTCAGGTCCCTGCCTCTGCAGCTCTCACAGATCTTGGTCTCACTGGCAGAAGGCACCATACTGCTGGAGGCTTCACCTGGAGGGTTGGGGGATGCCTTCTCCCCTCATCCACAGTGGCTCTGGCAGTAAATTTCCCTAGAGATCCTTGGTGAGGATGAGAGAAGGATAAAGAAACTCTGGCAGCAGTAGGACGTGGAGAAGCAGGAGCAGGCCCCTTCCCTGGCATGGGCCAGCCTGCAGCACAGAGGGACAGGAGGTGCTGCAGGGCTGGGATGAGCAGCCCAAACCCCATTACCTAGGGGATGGAGTGCTGATCATCTTTGATGGCATCCTGCAGGAGGATGGGGAGTGTCAGCCTGGCTTGAGGAAGAGACAAAGGGTGTGGGGAGGGTGAGGCATCTGGGCACCTGGCTTGCACTGAGAAGTGCAGCCTGAGTTCCTCCTGCCTTGGCCTTTTCAGAAAATCCCAGCCTGGCATCAGTCCCATGATTTACTGAGGCTGGTTTGGGCATGTGTGCCACCACCTCACCCGTGCTAGGGCCCCCGTGCTGCTGGGTTTCTGGGTTTTAGGAGTGGCAGTGCATTTCCTGCAAGGGTGGGTTCTCACAGCCACCCCAGCATGCGGTGGCAGTGGGACATGGTCCTCCATGAGGTGGTCGGTGTCCATCTGTGCTTTCCTTGACTGGCATACCCTCAGGTGGTGTGTTCTTCATCCAGGAGAGCTTTGTGCTGCAGCATGTGGCTGCACTGTGTGAGTGGATGTTCATCATCGATGTCCTGGTCTTCTATGGCACATTCACCTTTGAGTTTGGGGCCATCTCCACAGACACCTTCCTGGTCCTGCTGAAAGCCAGCCGGGCTCCCAAAAGTTACAAAGACGAGAGCAGCGTGTCCAGCACGGCCCACATCCACAGCCACGTGGAGGGCTTGGCTATGGCCTGACCCCCACAGGAGGCAGCTCACAGTGGAGACTCCCAAACTGGGCTCTGACAGTAACTCCCCACCTTGAATGTCTCTGAGACCCCAGCTGCCTTGGGGTGCTTCTCTGTGTGTGTGTGTGTGTGTGTGTGTGTGTGTGTGTGTGTGTGTACGTGTGGGCATGCGGTGCCCTCCGCTCTTGGCAGGAGCTGCATCCAGGACTCCTCTGGCAGCTGGTGCCCCTGCAGGAGCTGCCCCCTCTCTGCCCACAGGATTTCGGGGCACTGTTGGGGTGCAGGGATGCCAACCTGGTGCTATCAACAGAGCCAGGATCTGCCCCGGAGCCTCTGGGGTAGCCTTGTCTGAGTCAGGGGCTGCTGCAGGCAATCATACAGAGGCCCCCTTCTGTAAGCGATGTGCAGGAACAGGGGGCTCACTCTTCCCTCACCACACAAGCCTGGTATGCTGGGAGGGAGGGAGATCTCTGTCCTTCCCTCCTCCACAGGGAAGGTTCAGCAGAGCAAGCCTGCCAAGTATGACTGTCAGAGGAGCCAAAAACCCAGAGTGCCTTTTCCCTTCCTTGGGAAGTTATGGCAGTGCCAGTCTGTCTGCACCCCCAGTGAGAATGGCAGCAGGGGGTCTCTCCCTCCTGGCTTCCTGGGTGGAGGCAGTGCCTCACACTGCTACAAGATGACACCAGCAGCCCTAGCTGGCCTCGCTAGCCCCTCGAGCTCTTGCTGCTCAGGGCCTTCCTTGCCTTCAGTTGATGACTTTCCTGACATTTTTTTCAGCTTTGAGAATTGCTGAGGCAGGTTTCACCTCCTGGGTCGTGGCATTCCCGTGCTCCCAGCTACTTTGGGAAGTGAGTCTGAATTTACCATCATACCAAGGCACTGTGCCTGCAGAGCACCGGATTTCCCCCCTGTACCTCTGCCAACCTAAGCTGTCCCATGAGGGAGCGTCCCAGTCCGGGGTGGGCGGCCACCAGCCTTCCCAACCGGGGAGCACAGGCATAGAAAGGGGAGGCACTTCTGTAGGAACAGGTAAATGCATGCCCTGTTCTGCTGGGACTCCCAGATCCGTCCGCTGGTGCCTTGGCCAGCACCTGCCTGGTGGGAGCCCATCCTGCTCAGTCCCAGTATCCTCAGGCTGCAGACCGGGGTGTTCTGGGCAGAGGGGTGGGGTGTTGAGGGGTATGAGTGCTCTGTGTGCTTGGTGTGTGTGTATGGTGTGTGTGTATAGATCTAAAAACATGTGTATATATATATATATATATATATATACCCATATATATATATATATAACTTTTCCCTTGTCCCTGGAGAGGGGCATTTGCTGCTGCTGCTGTGCGCATTGATCAGGTTGGGCTTGCCTATTTGCCCACCTTTCCAAACCGGCCTGTAAATCCACCAGTATATGTAGTTCAAAGAGGAGCATTTCTGACTTTTATATCTAATATATTTTTTAAAAAAAATATATAAAGACAACAGTGAATTTACAATAATAAAAGTGAAAATCAGCCATGGGCGAGGCAGATGGTCCTTCCCCGCCGCGGTAGCAGCTGGCTTTGGGAACGGGGTTAGTGGCCCTGCGGGTCTCGGGGGACAGCCGTGAGCCCGGGGCTCGGTGCCCTGACCCGAGAGGGACGGGCGGTTTCGCCGGGATGCAGCAGCCTGGAGCTGCCTGTCCCCTCGGGGGTCCCCCGGCCCGCCCTGCCGCTGTCCCGCCGGGCGGAGCCGGGCCCGGGAAGCCCCGGGAGGCGGAGTCAGGACGGGACTTTCCCGGTACCGCGGCCGGGGCGCGACGGCTGGGCTGGGGCTGGGATGAAGGTAAGCGGCCGGGCCGGGGTGGGGGTATCTGGAGGTGCCGGGGGGATGCGCCCGAGCGGCAGTGGGCAGGGCTGCCTGCGCCAGCGGGAGAAGGGTTCCCAGGGAAAGGGAACTGAGCGGTCCAGAGGTTTAAAGTTCCCTTGCCAGGGCTGCCCATCCTTGCAGAAGGCCCCTCGGCCGCTCCTGGGCCTCCTTCTCGCCCCGGCAGCCACGCCGGTCCCTGGCTTCCTCTGGACCGACCACGGGGCTCGCTGGGGTAGGGGAAGTTGGGAAGATTCAGGATGGAGAGACAGCTGCTCTCTTGGAGTGGGGAGGAGGCAGCAGGTCCCAGCGCTGGCGCTTACACCCGTTTCCCTGGCAGTGGGGAAGTTGCTTATTTTCCTGTTTCTGTGTTGCCAGTGAGTTCTGCCCTATCCCGCTGCTCTCTCTCTTGCATGTTGAGCCCTGCTTGCGCTGGAGCAGGGCTGGCTTCCTGCCTGCTCCGAGGGGAAGAGATCCATGCCCGCAGGCTCAGCAAGATCTACCCCAAATGGAGACGTGAATGCCAACACGGTAGTGGTATTGTGGGTAGAGTGGAAACCAGAGAGAGTGAGAGATGGCAAACGCTGGGTTGTCACTGAGAGGTGTTCTCTGAGGGCACACAGATGTACAACTGGAGCAATGGTTCATAACACAACAGCAAAGGAGCTGATTTACAGGCCCTAGAGGAGAAAACCAGAAGATCAGTGGGTGGCTGGGGTTTGCCAAAACCAACTTGATAGCCACAAAGAGAGTAAAGGCGTTTTATGCAGAGAGATACAAATGGCTTCAGTGCTCGAAGGCAGGCTGTTGGGAGGGGAAGGCTTGGACAGCTTTCAGGGAGAGGGGATTTCTCTCTGCTGTGCTTGCACATTAAGGACCTCATTTCCAGGAAGGGTCTTAGAGCAAAGTCCTTGTAAACAGTAGGAGAGACTCAGCAGCCTCCTGCCAGCCCCTTGCCAGTAGCTGTTGGGACACCTGGGATGGAGCAGAGCACAGGATTTGTGCAGAAAGCAAGGCCAGGTATTTAGGGCCATCTTTTTCAGGTGTTAGCAGACCCCAAGAGAAGCAAAATGCACAGGGAATCGTATGTTAGAGGAGCAGCCAGCTGGGTGGCTGGAACATGTCAGCTGTACAATAGGGCAGTTCGGAGCAGGGCTGCACTCGTGCATTTCTGGAGCACTCTTTCCCATGGCTACTAAACACTCTCGCCTCAGATAGACTGACGTATATTTCCCTCCTGCCTGCGGGGCATCGGCTCTGCGAAGTCAGCCGACTGTCATGGGAGGAAAGAAAATAGCACCTGCGTTACTAGGTCACGTTCAAGGAGCTGCAGGCATGGAAGAATGGCTTTAATTCACGCTGCTTGCCAGCAGCTGGCCCTTAATTGAAGCAGTCTGGCTGGCACAAGGGAGGCTGTGCCGCCTGGCAAGGGTGCCGTGGCACTGCTGTGCTCCTGGGCCGGGAACTAGTGCTGTGCCTAGCAGTGCCGGGCAGTGCCTTGCATCTGGGTTGCTGCTCTTTTCCCCCATTTCCAGCAATGCCCAGAGAATCCTTCCTGAGCCCTAGGAAGGTGTGAAGATGGGGAGGAATTAGCCAAGCAAATGGGGGCTGCAGTTCAAGATCATGCTCCAGCTCAGATGTGCTGTGTAACACAGGCCAGGGGATGCTACTGATGGAGGAAGGAGAGATGGGTTCCCTTCTGGGATGTGTGGGGGATAAAAGCTGGGTGTGTTACATTCCTAGGGGAAACCCCGAGTCCTGACATGGCTGCTTGGCACAGGAGGCAGGATTTACCTTGAGAGTAGGTCTGAGGTTGCTTTTCCAGGAATAAAGAAGCAGGTGATGACACCATCTCTGCTGCAAGGTGGGCTTCCTCCAGCACACATTCTCCCGAGAGAGCCAGAGCTGTGCAGGCTGGGGAGATGCAGGCACGACTCTATGACATCCCAGTAATGCTATCTGCTGCAACAAGTGGAAGTATCCTGGGCAGCAATCAGTGCGCTGTGAAAACCTCTCAAGAGGGGATGAAGGTGATGGCACTGGAGAAGGGGAGCTGTGCTATCCAAAGGGCACAGTTTGTTCTTATCCAGCATCTTCAGGCCTGGGTTCCCCCAGCTGGGCTCAGCAGGTAGAGTTCGAGGTGGCTGTTCTCAGCACACTGAGGAAGGATGTTTGTCCCTTTCTTCACCTCTCTGTAAAATCTGTGCCAGCAGATGGGGTGGCTGGCTGGTGGTGGCAGGGTGAAGCTGCCCAGGCGGTATGATGGATGGGATCCCAACAGCAGGGAGCGCGTGCTGCTTCCCACAGGCCAGGGGGGAGTTGTGTCCATGTTCCTAGGCCTTTTGAAGGTCCTCCAGAATGGCAGGAGGAAGGTCCCGCCTCATTTTGCAATGCTGGATCTCTACCTTCTCCCTCCTTGCACCCTCTGCTGCACCTGCAGGTCCTCAGACTCCATGTCCCAGGCTGCATTGCTGTCTGGGATGCATCCCACAGGCTGGCAGGGCAGGGGCTGCAGGAGCTCACCAGGGCTCAGGTGGCAGGCCAGCCAAGGGACACCTCAGGCCTGGGGTCTCAGGACAGCCCCTTTGGAGGACTTGAGTGGCCGAAAAATCTCCTTGAAAAGATTCTGTTCAGCTTCTGAAGAATATGAGTCACGCACGGGTTGAACAATCCCCTTCCTTCCCCTCTTCTCCCACACACCCAAAATCCCCTGAGTGGGACCTGCAGCAACCACTGATTCAGAAATTCATGGTATGAGGGCACCGCAGAGTCAGATACAGGGGCTTTTTTGCTTTTTTTTCTTCTTAGTGAGAAGAAATGTGGAGCAAGAGAGCGTGCTCGGAGGCTCTGCTCTGATCCTGCCCCTTTGCTAGAAGTCACCGGTGGTTTTCCGTGGTCAGGCAGACCTTGACACCAGTGGAACCCCTGTCTGTGGTACTGGCAGTCCCTGTGGCGATGCTGGGGCTGGACGGGTTGTTGAGACCAGCCTCTTCCTCCCCGGTGAGTAGGAGGGTGCGAGCGTCGTGGGCGGCAAGGAAGGGCCCCGGCTTCTGGCAGTGCCTTGGGGTCTGTGGGGAGCATGCAGTGCTGAGTGCTGGGGCGGTGGGATATGCTCCCACAGGGAGCTCTGGGGCTGCCGCTTCCACTTTGAAGGCAGATGTTCCCAAGCGGGAAGGAGGGAATGGGAACACGGATAGTGAATGCCTCTCACAGCCCACCTCTGCGGGA